GATGTCGCATGGCATTTCATCATCCGGTGGTCACTTTGCACGATAATGTTGCGTTCAGTGTACGGTTGCCACGATGCGGCGATGTATCGGAATCTATAAATATTCACGATAATCGTAATGGGTCACTTTTCAGTATGTCGTCACGTGGCGATTATTGTTATTTTTTAAATCAAATATTTAATTTTTAGACAAAATTTCGTGATGAATTAATAATGATTAATGTGAAAAATGGCAATTACCAATTAAACGAGTGCTTTTTCAAATATTTGCCCGAGTTCTTCATGCGCTGGCGATTATACGATGTCAATTTCGAACAGCGCGTGCGTTCATAACACTGCAGTTTGTGAAGTTGCAATGATAAGACCTCTGGCAGGCCTGTGCAGATGAATCACCTTCAAATGTAATCATTTACTCTTACACCAAAGCACGTCAACAAGACGATACAAATGTGAAATACAATTACAAGTCGTGTTGCTTCCACATCTTCCCAGATGTCTAGCCAGCGTGAAAGAGTAGGCCAACAATATTCTCTAGAGAGAACTTCTTTGACAGCAGTGAGTGGCGTGAGCATGAAATTGCAGGGCTGCACCCGAACAACCACATTTTTTGTTTACAATTGCAGGTTTAAGGGAAGCTGATATCGTGACAATCGCCATATCGCAAAATGTATTATCGTACTGTGTCGTGGAAAATTACGTCTCTTTGAAACCCATGGTGCAGTGAAGTGAACGCGTATTTGATCTCTTTCAAGGTGCGGTCGTGAAAGCGTTTGCTTTAGCGTACGGTGATCTCTGTGGCTAGCGTGAAGCACGCTTGCACGAGGCAGCGGCTCGCACACAAGCAATGCCCGAGCGGAATAACGTGGGGTCATACGGGCACCGGGGTCAAATGAACCCGCCAGGGTTAACATATAAGACTCAAACAATACCTGGCTGCATTCATGTTCTGGAAGCATGTTTCCTTACCCGATTTCAGTGGGGTGCAGCACAATAAAAGAGTTTATTATTTCAGATCCAATCAACAAACAAACATGACGTGGTTACGCAATGACCAATGTGACCGCATACCCCATGAGTGGTCAACTTTAGCCAGCAATGTCACTGCCAATGAAGCCTGCAGCTTAATTCAATGGCTGCTTTCAATCTGGTTGGATAGCACGGCGGTTATGATGATAATGATGATGGTGTCATGCGGAGAAATAGCAACATTTATACGGTACGTAGTTAAGGTTTGTGGTTTAGTCAACAGCCGTCGGGAAATTGCGAAGGCAAGCTCCGTGATAATTCCGGGGGAATAAGTGACGGTGCAGAGTTGTTCGCGTGATGTTGTTCCATTGTTTGAAGCTGTTCACCACATTCACAACGAGGAGTGTCCTTGAGTCTCCGAGTCTCATCTCTGCAGACGAGGCAGTGCTTCGAGGGTACAGCTCTCAATCGCAGGGTGGTTGACAGTTCAAGTAGCTGGCTGAGCGTTGTCACAACCCTTCATCCTTCCGTAGTCAATGAAACGAGTGGCATTTCATGGGTAGCAAACAGTGGTCGTTATATGGACAAAACCCACCCGTGCTATCGGAATGTGGACCTTTCAAAATTCGATCCGTGCCACCAACAAACACGAACACTGCCCCTTGCTTTTTGTTTTACTAAATCAATTCCGTCCGGGATGCAGCATGCAGCTCGAGTTTCGGAAGCAAATTCACAACAATCGGCCACATGCTCACACATCTGGGGGGGCACATTTGCCGCCCAGTGTACCACCGAGAGCTGCAGGCAGCAGTGGCGTCTCTCACATTACCACCGAGGCACAGGACTTGCGTCATGGACACGGTGCCAATGAAGCCACCGTGGACGTTCCCAGCACAGGACGTCGCTCATCGATGCTTGGGTCATAGATTGTAAAAACATGTTTTGTCTTTTTTACGTTTTGTGTCACATCGTGAGATTTAAAATCCATTGTTCTCTCGCAGGGCGGTGTAACCCATCGTGTTAGAGAATGGTCCATGGAAGTGGGTATTAGATAACTACTTTTGAGATCCTTTCACGCGACCTACGGTTAAATAAGTAACGGGGGCAGCATTTTTCCACCCACTCAGTACTTTTTCAGCAGCCCTGCTACAGAGTAGCAATTCATCACATGACAGTCAAGCCCATCATTTTTCATTCTCAAACTTGGAATATAGCCAGTCTGAGACCATCACCCGACGACACTAGAGGACCCAGTTGAATAACAGGCGGGTCGGACCTGGATTCGAACCCCGAATCTCAGCAGTGCCGGCTCTGCAAACTAACACAAATATACACAATGGGCAAGGCGCAGACATAACAGAGAGGCAACATACACGGAGAGACAGACACAGAGAGGCATGTAAAGAGTCACGGAGATGTGGAGAGACCAAAACAAACGAGAAAGAGAGAGACAAACATACACAGAAAGACACAGACACAGATGACTGTGTTTGCTGAGACACAGAGAGCGACAGATACTTTGGCGCGCGGGCGGGTGGGTGGCTTATTCTGCAGAATTTGGGGCCATGTCTACATGCAAATAGTTGTGCACAGACAAATGTAGGCGCTGCCCGTAGCACCAGTGCCCTCATTGCGTGCACGTGATTGCCGCATAAGGAATGGCCTTCACAATACGCCTGGCGCTCGGTCATTGTGGAAAGCCCTTGACATTTAACTCAGCCGACATGCCGAGAGGGGTGCACCCGTGAATTACCGCAACGCCGAGAGACAACGCGCACCCCACGCGGCTTGAGAGACGGGGGTGGCGGGGGTGGGGGGGGGGCACTGCAATCATTTTCATCTTTACCGAGGAGATCTCCACCCGGGCCTTTAAAAGTAGATTTCGAGGTTCGGTATTGTTTCCAGTAGGACCATGGTCACCCCGCAGGATTTCGATTTAAAGCTTTCGTGACTGCAGGGATTCATCTTCTTGGTTCTTTCGGTAAAGTCACGTAGAAGGAAAATAATAAAATAATAAAAATAAAACATAATAAAATAATTTAAAGCTTTCGTGACTGCAGGGATTCATCTTCTTGGTTCTTTGGGTAAAGTCACGTAGAAGGGAAATAATAAAATAATACATATTTAATATATTTTTATTATTATTTTATTATTTCCCTTCTACGTGACTTTACCGAAAGAACCAAAAAGACCCGTAGGATTTGTTTAACAAGCGGTGGCTCTGCTGATGAGACTCGGGAGGTTGAAGCCACGCCAGAGTTTGCTTGGTTGCTTAAGCAAACGCTGCTTGATGATATTGGGCTGTGGAAGCCAATCGGCTGATGGATTGCTGGCTATTTGTATTTATATGCGCAGACACGGAATGGGATTCTGCTTATATTGGCCTTTTCGGAGAAGGGGGGGTCTTTCTTGGGATCTTTGGAAAGTTCTCCAAATAAGTTGTACGAATACTACAATAAAAATCAACACTTTCATCATTAATAATGCATTATAACACTATCATATTTCAGAAGCTGAGCAGGTTTAAACTAAACTATGCTATTTTACCAGTTAAAGCCCACTGAGCTAGGAGCAGTTTTTAAGAGGCGATCCGGCCACACGGGAAAGCCCATCGTCGACTTGACTGATATTATCACACGTGGGCATTCGACCGTAGCAGCCAAATTATCTGAACGCGTCTGTCTAAACGGAGAATGGGGGCCAACACCAGAGGACCTGGAGAAAAAAAGCCATGCGAATACCACGGAGGAAAAAACCTAAGAATATAATAAACACGGACTCCCAACTATACAGGGGTCGTTAGGGTTGGGATCGAACTCACAACCTCCTGCGTACCAGGTGAGGGAGCTAACATCTCGCTTCTGCAGCACCTCGTTTTCCAGGTTTATCCCTGGAGAGTGTTTCGTATGGGTGACCTCCACGCATTATACAGGTGTTATAGGTTGTCGTGCAGAGCTGTGTTGTGGCCAGCAGATGGCATTGCAGCACAATCCTTTGCTGTACTGTACTCACAGTCCATGCAACACACACGCCAGGAACGTCCTCGATGAGAGTTAAGAATGTTTTTGATGCTGGTCCTGACTTGCGATGCTTGGCCAATTTTATTCAAATGAGTGGCGTTGTGGAAGGGGAATTGGGGTACCTGGAGAATTCCTCCCCTCCTCCAATTTATAGGAGGTGAAGCCCTGCACAGATTGATTCTATACAGTAGGTGTGCTGCCATTCCTGGCCACCTCTGCTCAGATAGTTTGGCAGTTTCACGACCCTCACCTCCACAATTGCCTTCTTTAAGTAAAGGTGTGTCACCCCCCTTCGCTCCGCTAATGGTGTGAGAGTTACTTGATATGTGGTGGATATGCATCGGCCCTTAATTTGGGATCATATGCGATAGATACTTGAGTATGGTAACAATCTTAGGCGAGAGGGACAGAGAAACGAAATCCGATAGTACAAGGCCCTTATCTAGCAATGGATAGATCATGGCTCGTGATAAGAGTTAACCCAAATTTCAACTGAAAGTGAATCTATATTTGAATTATCTTGATGCCTGTTCAACTTCCTTTGCACCGTACGTAGTCAACCGCGCTAATCAGAGGTGGGGCGGGAGGACAACACACTAAACACAAAACGCAGTTTTAAAGAAATGAGTTTTCAATCTAGATGACTTAAAAATGCATCGCTTTAGTGGCTACCTAATATCGGAAGGAGGAACGTTCCAGACGGCCGCAGAAGCGCATCTGAAAGCGCGCGATGCAGCGACCGCCTTTCGTCGATGGCCAGCCACAAGCAAGCTGCGAGGATGAGCGGAGTTGGCGCGATGAGTTATACTCCTTGACGAAATCGGCAAATTACCGTGGTTCATTTGCGGCAAGCAACTTCGTGTGCAATAAGTGCGACCTTAGACTATCAACACGCATGTTCGTGACAAATATTACGACATTGTTTTGCCATTAAACGCGATTTGCAAAGCCATAAGCATTGCGCCCATTCATGTCGGACAGGTGTAAGCAATTACCGGCAGAGTCACGCAATTACCTTCTTACAAGGTGGTTCGATGGGCTTTGTCTTGTCTCAGAAACAAAAAACACCTCATCACCACTCTCCAGCGTCTGGCCCTTCAACGGCTGCGTCTGTCACAAGGGGACCCCCCCCCCCCCACACGCCCACTGCATCTAAGATTTTCACTTTTCCGCTCACTTGGGTTTATTTGTCTGCGAGTGATGTGCAGCGTGGGACACATTGTTTACCGAGGAGGGAAAGTCCTTAACAGGCGAGCGCGCTTGCGGTTCGTGCCGCAGAGTGAGCGTTGCTAATTAGCTACGAAGAATGTAATTACCTTGATTAATTAATAACACGATGTAACACGATTTTTGGTCCTGGCTAGTAAGTGTTATTTCGTAATTGCTTATGCTTAAAAAGTATAGAAAATTGCTATTATTCCCCAAAAACGTTGCTTTTGTGACCAGGACAGTGATATAAAACATCAATCAAAACTAACATGTATTTATACTAAAGTAATACAAAAATTACTACAAAAGATTTAGAAGTGAGTAGTTTTTCCAGATTTACGACTCTACTGTAAATAACTTTCACGAATCAGCCTCTTAATGTAGTCTCCCATCATGTTCTCGTTATACTGTCCTTGGCAGCGGCGTTCAAAGTCCAGTATATCCTGATAGAAGCGCTCGCCTTGCTCCTCCGAGTACGCTCCCATGTTTTCCTTGAATTTATCAAGATGAGCATCAATGATATGGACTATGAGGGACATCCTACAGCTCATTGTGCCGTAGTTCTTCACCAGGGTCTTAACCAGCTCCACATAGTTTTTGACCTTGTGATTGCCCAGGAAGCCACGAACCACTGCGACAAAGCTGTCCCCAAGCCGCTTTATCCTTAATAGTGAGCTTCTTGGGGAATTTATTGCACTCCAGGATCTTCTTTATCTGTGGTGCGACGAAGACACCGGCTTTGACCTTTGCCTCAGACAGCTTAGGGAAGAAGTCTTGAAGCTACTTGAAGGCTGCCGACTCCTTATCTACAGCTCTGACAAATGGTTTCATAAGGCCCAATGTGATGTGCAGTGGTGGCATCAGCACCTACCGGGGGTCCACCAGTGGCTCCCACTTGACGTTGTTCCTCCCCACAGAGAACTCGGTCTGCTGTGGCCAGTCCCGCCTGTGGTAGTGTGCCTTGGTGTCCCTGCTGTCCCAAAGGCAAAGATAGCAGGGGAAATTGGTGAAACCGCCTTGGAGACCCATCAGGAATGCCACCATTTTGAAGTCTCCGATGACCACCCAGCCATACTCATCATACTTCAAGGCGTCCAGCAAGGTCTTGATGCTGTTGTAATCCTCTTTGAGGTGCACCGAGTGAGCCAGGGAAAGAGACGGGTACTTGTTACCGTTATAGAGCAGCACGGCTTTGAGGCTCCTGGATGAGCTGTCAATGAAGAGGCGCCACTCATTCTGGTTACAGGCGATTCCGATTGCCTCGGAACAGACTGGTCACATTGTGGCAGAAGCAGAGCCCATCTTGACGGGGGAAGAAGCTGCAAAAATGTTGTTGACGCTTCCCCTGCTCTGCGACTTGCATACTTTCATCCAACAAGTTCCACTGCTTGAGCCTAGACCTCAAAAACTCGGCATTGGACTTGGTGAGACCAAGATCTCTGATCAACTCGTTGAGGTGTTTTTGGTTGGGGTAGTATGGGTTTCTCTCCTCAACTCCACCTCTGGAATTGTCATCTGGATCTACAACGTCTTCCCTGCTCTCTGACTTGCTGCTCTCTTCTAAAGACGGCTGCTCTCTCTCCGGAGGAGTGGGTACGGGGAGCTCATGGCAGTGTGGCACCGGGGCGATGGATGAAGGAAGGTCCGGATACGTGATAGCAGGTGCATTCTTGCCAGTTCGACGTTTGGAAGGGTCCATCATCCAGAAGTAGTAGTTGCTTGAGTGGTCAGTGGGTTCCCGAGAAATTCTTTGGATAGCGAACTTCATGGCTCATTTCTCGCAGGTTAAATGAGGTGCCCAGGTTTGTCTTGATCCCCAACAGTCATGCCGAAATATGCCTTGTAGGCCTCACACATCTTAGCAGATGCTTCCACAGAGTAATTTTTCACTCTTGTCTTGATAAATTGGCCGCAGACATAGCAAAATGCGTCTGCCGGATGCTTGCAGCCTCTTGATGCCATCTCAGAAAAATGCAGATATGTATCCACTTAGGCGGCTGGAACTAAACTGAACTGGTGGGCTTAAGGCACCTGTATTTATACTACTATTTATATTACTGGAAAGTTCTAGAATGTTCTAGAAATTACTCCAAGTTTACTCGGCACTGAATCTATCTAAAATTCGGTCACAGTTCCTATGATCACTGTTTCATTGCTTGTATGGCTTTATTTTGGTGATTTTCGAAAAGTCTTTTTGGTTTGGCCATGTTTGTTTGTTGTAGTACAGAGTTAGATTGATGGCCTTAATCTAAGTTGTCTTGTGGTTGTTGTTGTTTGACTTGCATCCCACTGGGATTTTTGCACACAGTGTTGGTGTACGGTGCTTTTTCTGCAATATTTTGCTGTCTTTTCTTGTATTTTCTGTTTGTACATAGTCACTTAAAGATGTTTTCTTGTTCATGTTTTAGTTTTTTTGTTTGTTGCGGTTGCACCCGATTCAAGAGCCGAATGGCTCACAGGGCTATGCCTAATAAATGAACTTGAACTTGATCTGGAATGTTCTGGAAAATAGGTCAATTTCAAAATATCACTGTCCTGGTCACAAAGCAAAGTTTGTGGGGAATAATAGCCATTTTCTGTACTTTTGAGGCATAAGCAATTAGGAAATAGCACTTACTACCCAGGAACAAAAAAAAATGTTACACAGTGTGATAGCATCGTAATCATCATTTCGACTTGCAACACGCTGCCGCCGCACAGTGGTTCCTCGCTGTTGCAGAGAGAGAGAGATGATGACTTGGAGCCGCGAGGAGGCACCGAAGACGATCGGGAAAACCGGTGCCAACAATTGCCAAGGCTCTGCGGTCCTGCACATATGAAGGTATTATCGGTCAACTAACGGAGAAGCCGCAGCAAAACCCACGCGTGCGAGGGGGAAACACTGTATCCCCTACAGACGGCAGAGGCGCCGTCGACATGTTTCCGTACTGCCGTCGACAGGCGAGCCAGGGCATGGTGGGATTTACAAACCTTCACTACCTCCGCAGTGATGGATAACAATGCCACGTGCGTAGTCACCACCGACTCCTGCAGCAATCCACTGCTGGATGAAGGCATCCTACCAAACGCAGCCATGCGGGGTTGTTAGTCCGTACATCAGCACGCCGGATAGCGCGGGGGTGGGGGGAGGAGGCACCCATCCACCCACTCACTGCAGCAAACTGGAATGTTGAAAAGCAAACAAAATAAAAAATATATATCATTCTGGTCTGTTGTGTATATGTTCTATTCTCAATCGTTTGGACGTTACATTTGGGTGAGCAATCGCTTCCTTGTCGAGTAAAGACAAAGGGTTAAAGGTACAGCGCTGCAGTTACTAACTCATCAACCCAGCTTATATATATGCTCCAAGCACGTGTGCTGTTTCATTCAGACGCTGTCGCCTCGACAGACCTGGTTTTCACCTGAGGACGGCTGCTTGCGTTGTGGCCGAAACGTCGTGAGAATTGTTTTATTATGTTTTATTTTTATTATTTTAATTACTTCCCTTCTACGTGACTTTACCGAAAGAACCAAGAAGATACTAACTCACCGTCACTGCTGGCAGAAGGGCCTCCACTCAAGAGGAGGCTCTCGACCAGTGATTCTTAACCTTTACTGCAGCGTGCATTCCTTCGGTTCTTAATCGAGACAACATGTACAATGTTAATAAAGACACAGGTTTGATGAAACAAAGTAGTTGTGCTTACCTACCCGTGCCTCATTGTTCTTTTCGATTATTCACCTTCTGACAACAATCTTGCCGTGTCTCGCACCCCCAGAAAGGGCATCTCGCACCCTCCAGGGATTGCACGCACCCCAGGGTTAATAACCACTGCTCAAGAAAGTATCTCTACAGTGGGAAGTGGCTGAGTCGTCCACGCTTTGCTAGACGTCTTGGAAGAGGTAGGAGCACCCACACTTTACCCCACCACGCGCAACTTCCAGATCTGACTGGGACGTAATGATACTGGCTTGCAAGGTGGACGGTCTGTGGGAGGGAGGGGCGTCATAATTCACGTGCCCGAGGTTTCCCTTGCCGCGCCGGGAGATCGAAACGAACCGACAACCATGCATTGCAAGTCCAATGCGCCGAGCCATTACACCACGAAATGAAAACCCCAAAAAATCCTCATTCGTTGTGGGCCCTCTCGAGATGTCCCCCTGCACTGGAAGCAAGGTGTAAAGAATAGATGATAACGATCCCGTTGATGATAATGATGATGGTGATTATAATCAATAGGTCACAATCACAATGCTCACCGTGCAGAGAAACCTGCGCGCCATCGATAATCAGCGAAGCCATCACTCAATCCGCATCGATCAATCAATCGTAATCTTGTTGGCCAGTTAGAGCTCCGTGATTTGATTACAGCTGCCTGTAACTCAATGTGTGTGGGGGGGGGGGGTCGTCATTAAAACCTCGGGGAATCCCCACGGCAATCGGTACCTTGCACAGAGCAACTCGGCACCTGCTGGACGCACGTTTGTTGAACTTCTTTCGCACCGTACGTAGCCAACCGTGCTTATCGGTGGTGTGGCGTGGTGTGGGGGGTGGGCAACCGAAGAGCTGTGGACGGTGGACACGTGACAAAGGAGCGCACGTGGCAGTCAACTTGGAACTTTGAGTCAACGTTCGTCCAACGCTTCCGCACACATGGGCAAGGTTTATTATATTAATTTGAACAAATGCTCAAACTGACTGCCGTTAACAGTAACGCGTGCACGCGTTGTCGTTTGAAACGAGTTTAGTACTTTTCTAAAGATTACACGTGCAATCTGTGAACATTTATCAATTATGTTTGGTTTCAATTCAACTTTCACTCAATGTACATGAATTATGATAATAGATGACATTGAATTAAAGAATCAACAATTAAAATGGTTTAATGCCAGTGGCACATGCATGCTAAACTTGGTATAATCATAGGCAGTTTTCCATCCAACTACTGATCAGACTACTAATCAGAATTCTTGTTATTTTGTATTTTGTTGTTGCTGCTGCAGCTGCTGTGGTCACGCACCACGGATCTCCCGTGTAAAATAACCGGGACACTGGATAAACGGGACCGTGATCATCCGTGTAGCAAATCAAATACACTCCTAATTGGACTCAACAATGATTTCTCTTCCGGAAACATGACGAAGTCGTCCTCATTATCAATCAACAGAGTCGTCATCCAGCATCTCTTCAAATAGTCGTCCACCAAATCGCAACACACTTCTTTTCAATGTCACTTAGAACAATTTTGTATGACGAGATGATTTGCCTTCGAACTGAAGAGCCCCCCCCCCTCCCCCATCGTAGTGACAGGTCACCACCACTGGGTTGAAGGGAGCCTGGGTTGCTTGATGAGACACCGTTTTGTTTTGCCAGACTGGAGGCAGCGATGCTGAAAGGAAACACGCCCTCGAAGCCAGTGCGTGTGATTGGTGGCTTTTGTGTAAGCAGCGCTCTGAACCTATTTATGTATCTATAGAAATAAAGAAATAGAGACGGACATTTGAAGGATATCCTCGTCTGCTTTACACGTTATGATATTTAAGGCGATACGCTTGTCGACGTGATTGATAAGCACGCAGTGTATTGGGCTTGCAAATAGACTGTACTTTGTTTCAACGATGCCAAAGTTTGGCGATTCGATGCCACGGATCTGGCACTGTTACAGTACACAGCACGGCCACCCCTCCACTCTCTCTCTCTCGCCAAGTGGACATTCAAGCGTTACCCCGTGACGTCATGCAAGAGTTGCCCCGTGATGTCATTCAAGAGTTGCCCCGTGATATCATTCAAGAGTTGCCCCGTGATGTTATTGAGAGTTGCCCCGTGACGTCATTCAAGAGTTGCCTCGTGATATCATTCAAGAGTTGCCTCGTGATGTCATTGAGAGTTGCCCCGTGATGTCATTCAAGAGTTGCCCCGTGATGTCATTCAAGAGTTGCCTCGTGATGACATTGAGGGTTGCCCCGTGACGTCATTCAAGAGTTGCCTCGTGATGTCATTCAAAGTTGCCTCGTGATGTCATTGAGAGTTGCCTCGTGATGTCATTCAAGAGTTGGCCTCGTGATATCATTCAAGAATTGTCCCGTGACGTCATTCAATAGTTGCCCCGTGACGTCATTCAAGAGTTGCCTCGTGATGTCATTCAAGAGTTGCCTCGTGATGTCATTCAAGAGTTGCCCCGTGACGTCATTCAAAGTTGCCTCGTGATGTCATACAATAGTTGCCCCGTGACGTCATTCAAGAGTTGCCTCGTGATGTCATTGAGAGTTGCCCCGTGATGTCATTCAAGAGTTGCCCCGTGATGTCATTCAAGAGTTGCCTCGAGATGTCATTGAGAGTTGCCCCGTGATGTCATTCAAGACTTGCCCCGTGATGTCATTCAAGAGTTGCCTCGTGATGTCATTGAGAGTTGCCCCGTGATGTCATTCAAGAGTTGGCCTCGTGATATCATTCAAGAATTGTCCCGTGACAGTCATTCAATAGTTGCCCCGTGATGTCATTCAAGAGTTGCCCCGTGACGTCATTCAAGAGTTGCCCCGTGACGTCGTTCAATAGTTGCCCCGTGATGTCATTCAAGAGTTGCCCCGTGATGTCATTAAAGAGTCGCCCCGTGACGTCATTCAAGAGTTGCCCCGTGATGTCATTCAAGAGTTGCCTCGTGATGTCATTCAAGACTTGCCTCGTGATGTCATTCGAAAAGAGAGTGTATTCTTCAACTGTCCCGGTGTCGTTAAAACGAGGCAGGAGAAAGATAGAGAGAGAGAGGCGAAAGAATACACAATAACAGTGGATGATTCATGGCTTAGGTATAAATTACCAACGGCTTGTCTTTCCGAAGAGGTAACGCGGTTCGACGCCTTTCTTAACCGTCTGAATAAGGAGCATCAATCACTTTGCTGATATATATTATACCAGTGGCATGCACCCACCCCCCTCCCTTAATTTGCCGGTTACATAAATAGTCAAGTCCAGTCGTGCATTTGTTCGCGGCTCGGGCTAATATTGTCGGCTTTTCGTGGCCATTGTCAAAATGGGGCTATTTTTACGCATTGATTAATCGTCAGACTCCGCGAAGTTTTTTTTTTCCGCGCAAGCGCAGTCATCACTTGAGTTTCCAGTTGTGTTGTTCGCTGATAAAATGTAACATACACACAACGACTTACACTATAATGCTACATGCATTATATACGCACTATAATGTTACAATACACACACGCGTGCGCGCGTGTGTGTGTGTGTGACACGGAAAGGGGCGCTAAAAAGCAACACTGGTGACGAAAATCTGCACCGGTTTCTGGGCCACCTCCAGGTCAACTCAGCCTCAAATGAGTACCGAGTACGGTGTGTAAACACCAGCAATGGGGAGACAAAGGCGGCCGGGAGTGGGGCTGCCCACCTATCCCCGTCGTGTACCATTAATAGGTATTCGCGAACAGCACTTGCCCCAACAGCCTGCTCAAGGCTATATGGGGGGTTTTTGCCTTTGGGTGAAAGCGGTGGTGTAGCGGTGAGACCACTGCGCTACAAACCCGGCAATTGAAGTTCCCATCTCGCTGTGGCCAACACGAGTGGCAAGTTGTATCGGGTTCACACGACCACCTGGTGTAGCGCGCCCGCGCGTGTGTGTGCGCGTGTGTGTGCGCGTGTGTGTGAGCGCGTGTGTGTGCGTGCGTGTGTGAGCGTGTGTGTGTGTGTGTGCGCGCGTGTGTGCGTGTGTGTGCGTGTGTGTGTACGCGCGTGTGTGTGTGTGCGCGTGTGTGTGCGTGTGTGTGTGAGCGTGTGCGTGTGTGTGCGCGCGTGTGTGCGCGCGTGTGTGTGTGCGTGTGTGTGTGTGAGCGTGTGTGTGTGCGTGTGTGTGTGCGTGTGTGTGCGCGCGTGTGTGTGTGCATGTGTGTGTGTTCGTGTGTACACGGCATCGGCACCGGGGAGACAAAGGCGGCCGGGCGTGGTGCTAGCCGCACACACACACCATCCCCTCGTGTGCCTGTGGCGTCTTTCGTAGCTCGCTAACAGCACTTAGCCCCCGAGGTCTATAAGGCTAACGGGGGGGGGGGGGGGGTGGTCTTTGTCTCCGTGTGTGTGCCAAGCAAGAAACGCATAAATCTTCAAGGACTCGCCTAAAGACCAGCGCTTTGCAGCTTTCTGCAAAAGCGCTGGGCTGCATCAGCGCGCGCGTGTGTGCGGTGGCGGTGGTGGTTGACGGGGAGAGAGCGTGGTGGTGGTGGGGGGTGGGTGAGTGAAGGGGTGGTTAGGAGAGGAGGGAATGCGAGAGAGAGAGAGGGAGCGAGAGAGCCGAGCGAGAGAGCCGAGCGGAGCGAATCCGCGCCACTCCTCACTCCACCATGCACGCAGGAGCACAGGCGACGCCGCGAGGGGAGCGCACGAACGACACAAGCGCCACCATTCAGCGGCTGCTCTTCACGCCTGCGGCTTCGCAGAGATATCCACTCGTCGCCTCTTCCTCCTCCTCATCCTCCTCCTCCTCTCCTCCTCTTCTTCGTCCCAGAGTCTCCTCCTCATCCAATTCTTCCGCCCTTGCCGGACCGCTGGCTGCGAGCTGCTAACGAATTGGAAGGCTTCCCAAGCACGCTCCCTCCTCCTCAGTATCCTTCTCCTTCGTCCTGAACGCCACACAACCACCACCACAACCACCACCACCACCACGACTACTACTACTACTACATGGCTGCGCTTGGACACACGGCCGTGAGCGCAGCGGTGTTGTTTGGGCGTGAATGACTCGCAGGGGTTGTTAGCCTCACCCCATCACCACCACCAGCAGTACTTGCACCAGCCGTGCAATCTCTACAGCCGCAAAGTCCCACAACTGTGATATCTTGAACCCTCCCCATCTCCTTGTAGTAATAATAATAATCATCAACATCATCATCATCAGCAGCAGCATCATCATCAGCAGCAGCATCATCATCATCAGCAGCAGCAGCAGCAGCAGCAGCATCATCATCAGCAGCAGCATCATCATCATCAGCAGCAGCAGCACTGGCTACAAAGAACCGCTCAGGATGAGCCGCCGTCCCTTCCCAGCCCGTCGGATACGGTTCAATTCCGGACTGCGAGTGTTGGTGTGGCTGTTCTGCAGCGGGCTGTCCGTGGCTATGCCGCACGTTCTGAGAATAGGTAAGTGTGCCCTGAACACCCACTCACTCGCTCAACACACACACACACTCTCTCAAAGCCAACCCTCGCCGATGTGTGTGTGTGTGTGTTTGATTGCATCCAACGTATTTTTTTTGTCAAACAAGCGGAGCGTTAATGCGCAAATGCGCTTTCACGCAATTACACGTGCCGAGTGATAGGAAAGTGTTAATGTCGTGAACTGGCACAAACCAAGCCCGCAAGCTGCTAGCCCTCCTGCATTGTCATGCAATGTCATTCCAACTCGGGGCCATAAACAACATCTCGGCTGTTGAAAACAGGTGAGTGGGCTCTCGCCTGGTCGAGGGATGAGAAACACCGTACCCTGTACCCGGGTTACCTACCCAGTTACCTACCCAGTTACATACCGAGCTCTATCGCTAAGGGACTGAGACCAAGCACATCAAAGGCGGGGCGAGAACAGCGGTTGGGAAATGTTAGCTGGGGTCATGATCGTCAGCAGGCGATCATCAATCCACTGCTGGATGAATGCCTTATCTCCACCACCACCTCTCACGATCCACCCGATGCAATAATCCACACAGCACCTGCACACGAACTGACTTAATTGTCCCCGCAGGAACACGATGCTCGTGTGTGTGTGTGTGGATCAAACGAGCGTCTTTGTTCTTAATAAAATAAATACCTCTCATCGACCCTGCCCCGGGAAGATTTCGGGGGGGGGGGGGAGATATGTTGAAAGGAGAATTGCATCCGCACGTGCGTGGTGTAATTCGGAGCGACGTGGTCACATCGCCGGCCCTAATTCTAGATTTGAAGCTTTCGTGACTGCAAGGATTCATATTCTTAGGTTTTTTTCGGTAAAGTCACATAGGTAAAAAATTGAAATTAAAATTAATAAAACGTCGTTATTTTTTATTTTTTATATTTTTATTTTATTTTACTTTTATTAATTTCAATTTTTTACCTACGTGACTTTACCGAAAAAACCTAAGAATATCGGCGGCCGTGATTGGCGGTGCCGAGCTAACGTGGCGACTGCACACGGCTGGGCTTTGATTGCAACATTTGTTCCCGTCTGCTTCTTTTCAGCCGCTTGCCTTTTTTTTTTAACTGCGGCCGTCAATAGGCAAATGGGGCTGTGCCACTGAGCCCTGTTATGTACAGTTCAATTAAAGTGAACTACAACCGGAGCGCACAAATTGGAAGTGATGGAACGGTGCATTAAATCACGTTTATGTAGGTGCGTAAGTTCGTTACGTCCCTTAATGCGGTGTACGTATCTTGAGTGCGCGTGGATCTATCATCCGTACGGTCGAGGCAAGCGTGTGGTGTACGTACACAGATTGTGTGTGCGCCCAGACCAGCACATCAGGCAGAATGTACGTATAATAATATGCTACCGCAAAAAGGTGGTCATTAAGGAGAGGTCAGCATAGCCACGGAGTCTTGAATCCATCTGTGCGGAGTTTTGAGCGGTACCACCTCGTTTAAAGCGCGTTTTCTCCTCCCACGAGGCCAAACGCGTATGGATTGAATTCCGAAACAAATAAAACAGCCCAGCGCATACTCCTCCTGCAAATGAATACTGAGACTCGGGTGAGGCTTTCCGGGATAAATACGTTCTACCACTGATATTAACACACAACTATCATATGTATGTGTTGAACTGTGTATGCACGTGGTAGTTGAGTGTATTCGGTGCTTCCGTGGATTATAAGCTCACGCTGTTCACTGTGTTCAAGCGTTATGCCACACGCACACACACATGCGCGCGCGCACAGGAAATCCATATGCAAGCAATGTTCAGTTGTAAAAGAGTCAAACGAATATACGCACCCAGAGAACCATCACCATGTAGCGTGAGATATATGTAGGGTTGAGCGGTGGTATAGTGGTGAGCGCGCTGCGCTATAAAACTGGCCAACAGAGTTTGATTCGCGGCTGTGGTGAGTGATATAAGAATTAGTCCGATACCCTCCCAAATTCCGTATTGACCATCGTGGTGAAGTATGGTGAAAAAAAGCAATGACCCCCCTATGACCGACGTGGCGTGGAGAGGCCTTAACCTATGAGTGCATTCAAAATAGCTTTAATTATAATTATATGTAGACGTGCGTAACAGTATACATCATAAGCTATGCAGGTTGCATAGGCAGGCTCTATCCTGAGACTCATTGTAACTGCTAATTCAGGGGCGAGTGAGTGGGCGGGTTCCACGTCTACGCTCTTCGGCTTTCCACGACAATGTATGTACACAATGTATGTATGTATACGATGTACGTGTAGTCATGTATGTACTACATACATAACGTGCATACTGCAGCAAATAGACACGTACAAACACACACGTGCAGATAAGACTGTTGGGAAAATGTGCCGTTAGCAAGCACCGATGTGGAATGCGCATCTACAGCACACACGCTTTGTCAAAACAATGCTGTCTTTTCGCGATCTCATTTTGGGCTGAGCCGACCTAGGGGAAGGCCCGTTGTGTTTGGAGTTAAAGGGGAGTGCCCGAATGATTGCGCACACACACACACACACACAAAATAAAGCGCTATATTCTCTAAGTCGCTTACCAGGAACGTAGCGAATAGAAATTCGCGGAAGGTTGTGATGTCTGTGTCATCCGATTGAGAGCTTCTTCGGATTTTCATTGTTGTTGTTGTTGGTGTCCAGCCAGCTTGGGCTGGTGTTCAGAAAGTGTCTATGGGAATTGCCTTACAATTACACTGGTCAACACACTTTTTCTGGCATAATATATTCCAACGGTTTAAAGGTAATTTTGGGGTGCTGATTCCAAATCTGGCATCAATTTTTGTCTATCACATCAGGTTTTTGAGATATCAAATATTGCATTTTCAATAAAAACTGCAGAAGAAAATATTAAATAAATGTGGATATCTACATAAAATGATATTATAAACACACCATCCTAAAAATACAGCACCATATTTTAATACTAAAGCAGTCACTGACTCGCAACAACTTGCAATCATAAGTGACAGAGTTAATTTCGGGTAAAATCAATGAAAATGTGGTATGCCGATAGCATAAAAATGAGATGTGATAGAGCAAATCTGAGATCAGATTTGGAATCAGCACCCTGAAATTAGTCTAAAACAGCTGCAAAAGTCCAGGCCAGAAAAAATGTTTTTTTATTTGTTGACCAGTGTTATGCGTCATTATCATCATCATCAGCCATGATCAATCCACTCTTGGATGAAGGCTATCCCCAAGGAACCCTGCGATGTAATCATTATCATCCACCGAGCGCTTGCAGACCAACTGTTTTCATCGCTCCATCTCCTAGGAATGAGATTTTTCTTGACACGTTCCATTACTTGGCTGCCACATATTTTAATTGGCGATAAAACACAGTGGTGCATCGATAAGGAATTATTATTCAGCGTGGTCATCGGTCATCATCAGTCCACTGCTGGATGGAAGTTTCCCCACGCCGTGTCAGTCAGGGGGATCGCGTGACCATACTTCACCACGCTGGTCAATACGGATTAGTTAGGGAGCGAGCGCACAATCAATTTCAGATCTGTGGTCGGGAATCGAACTCGGGTGACCAAGGTTTCAGAGCGCAGGGTGCTAACCGCTGCGCCACCGCTCGACCTGGTAGTGTTATATTGCAGTGTGTGGCATTTGAATAACACAATTGGAAGAGTGACACGTGCATTTGGCCTGGCACTGAGCTGGACTCAATGGGACGGATGCATTTGAACGCACGGGGAGGGTCATTACAGTCGTGACATTTTATAGCAGCTACCACCCCTCCCTCCCTCCCTCATAATAAACATAATTTAACGTAAGCAGTAAATATTTCCTCTTTTTTTGCCCGTAATGATTCATTAAGCAGTTACCGCCGCACGGTCACGCCCCGTGCGCCGCTTTTAAATAAAGTTGATTGCCTCTTTAATGTGGCTGATGGCGTTGGTTGGAACTCACACGGACACATAAACGCCTTGCGGACAACTGCCGTATCTCGGATATACGCACGTGCATTAAAGAAGTAGCCACACATACAAAAGCATTTAAAGTAATTTATTTATGAAATTTTTGCCAATCCACTGCTAGATGCAAGGCCTTCCCATGCCCGTGCCTATCATGGGGACTGTTTGTCCATTACATTACCACGTTGGTCAGAGCGGGTTGATACATCGGGGGAACCCCCAACCGGTTTGGATGTCACTCGCCAGCGATGTTAGCCGTGGTCGGGAATCAAACTCAGGTTACCGGGTCCACTGCTCCACCCCACGGCGCTTATGCCAGGCGAGGTACAATTTGAGGCCATCATGTGAAGTGTCGAAGGGTCTTTGGCAGGAGGTCACGGGAGAGACCCAGGTTCTATGGGCTGACTGACTGAGATGACTGCCAGATGCACCACCTGTGCTCCCCACTGCGCCAGCTTGCGTGTATATATATACATACAAAGACAAAGATCCCCCGTATAGCTTTAACAGACTGTAGGGGTAAGTGCTGTTAGCGAACACCTATAAAGGCCGGCATGGCACACGAGGGAGTGAGTGGCCAACACCACACCCGGCCGCCTTTGTCTCCCCAGTGGCGATGTTACACATTTCTCCAGGTACTAATTTGAGGCTGAGTCGACCTAGGGGATGCCCAGGACTGGTTCATATAATCGTCACTGATGTTGGCTGTGAGCGGGAATCGAACCCGGGTCGCCTGGTTCGTAGCGCAGCGTAGCGCTAACCGCTACACTACACACGCACACATTGACACACATTTATCAGTCTTGGGAATTTTGGTCCTCACCATAGAAATATGGAATTTCAACCGAATGTACAAAAACATCAATAGGCATACATGGGCTTTGGAAAATGTTTGTTCATCGGAGCGTGAAGTCACCGAATGTATCACCGTGCACATTATACGACGAGGACAAGATATCTCTCTTGTTCGGCTGAATTTGGTTCGTGAATAGCCCCCTTTCTTGGGTTCATCAATGTGCTGTGCATGATGCAGGACAACTCTGTTCGATGCAACTT